TCCACGGTTTTCGTTTCCACGGTGGAAATCTTGCACCGTTCTCCGCAATGCGCAGTTCCACGTTTCCGTTACAAAGATACTTGGACGACGATCCTCGAGTCCAAGAAAGCGATGAAAGAGAATAAAATTTCCTTCAAAGTTCGAAACCGAATATTCTTAACAGAGATCGAATAATACGATGGAGATATTTGCGTGAGATAATTACGTCGAGCAATGACGTCGAAGTGGAAGTTCAAAGTCATCGGTTCGAAGCGAGGGGAAAAAAGAAAGAGAAGGAGGAGGGAGGGGTGGTCCCGATGGGTGAACGCAGATTACACGGAAGTAATTTAATTACATTCAGGAAGATGGTTAAGCAAGAAGAGATCTAGCAATTGGAGGACATGTCGGCGGTTGTCCAACATGTACGAGATAATCGAATTATCGTCGCTTTGAGGAGCAGCGCCCGTGGATGATCTGATCACGTACCTGATGAACAGATCGCCAGCGATGCGAGCCGCTCTCGAAGGGAAAGCGGCTCTCGTTATAGACCCTTCACGGTTACGTTCCAACGAACCGTTACCACCGTGCCCCTCCCCCTCCCTCTCTCCTCCCTAATACGATACCTAACTTCTACCGACCGATTAAATCCGCCACGCGAACCACGAAAAGGCAACGCGCGCGATATCGATATCGGAACCGAAGCCGGCCGTCGATGAATTAAAAACGCCGCTTTCTTCTTCTTTCTTCGAACGACGATACGCGCCGCCCTCCCTTTGCCCCTCCTGCCCTATCCTTTGCTCCCTTGGTCGAGGTCGACGAGTTACGCGACGAGGGCCGAAAATTGCAGAGAACAAAGTGGAAATTGACCGACCGCTCGTCTAGCGTGCAGTCTCTGGCAAAGGTTTTCGAGGTCGTCGCTGGTATTCAGGTTGGCTCCCGCAGGAATTCCCGCGGTCGAATTCCGCTATGCCTAACTCGAAAATACTTTTCTGGGATGGAGCCTCGTTTTCGCTCGCTGTTACGCGGAATAAAGATCTCCGGAAGGAGATCGTATCCGAATTCGTTTCTCGCTCCATCCCTGGCCCGTGCCCGTGATCGAAAGTGCGGCCGTGTCGCGCACCCCAATTGCGGCGGCGATCGCGTTTTCGAATTATTAAATATCGTCATCGATCGGCGACACGTATACAATTCTATCCGCGTACGTAAAAGGGGAGAGGGGAATGGAACAAAACGTACGCCACCCTCATACTTTCCGAAAGGGACGTATTAACGATGACTTTAATCAACCTGTAATAACAATAAAATATATTAACGTCCGACGTATAAATTCAACGAGGGAGAGGAGGGGGGGAAAGGGGGGGGAGAAGGTGGGACTCGATCGTTAACGCGATTATTATGTGGCCAACTTTGCGCGCATTCGAATTTAATAGTTTGCATAATTTACCTGGCTAGTTAGTTATTCCATTAATCACTCTACACTTATAGGAGTATAAGGTTACGCATAATAATTGTACCATTATTTAGATCATATTCGGTGTATATCGATAATCGGGCCTGCACGCAATAATTTCAACATAATTAACCGACCCGTCTCCATCGACGAGATTCGAGGTTTCGAGATCTCGAAGGGGTGATAAATATACGCGTGAAAACGACGGAGGATTGATCGAGGAAAGGAGAAAGAAGACGAAGACACACAGTGGACAAAAGATCGAGCGGTTATAATATCCGTTCTAAACGCACGAGTTTCGAATATATTTCGTCTTCTATTAATTAACGTATCAAAGGACACGATATTAATATTTGCTTCGCAGTCTCAACCGCATAGAAGATATTAACGTCCCTGTAATATTGTGTCCAGGCTAGAGGGAGAGGACATATTGAAACCGCACAAACTTTGCTCATAGCATCCGCGGGTACTCGTAAATATACAGGGTGGCTCGGGATCGAACGGATCCGTGTGGACACAGAAGACGCGCAATTTAAGTCTGCCCGGATTAATCGTAACGAACGTACACGTACGAATCAGAATCGGAACGACGATCTTCCGTCCAACGGTTATTTTCGAAATTATCTCTAAAATAACCATCATCCCCCTCGGTTCGCCTCGGATCTCGTCGTATTTTTCGGATGGACGGGAAGAATGATCGATCGATCGAAAAAAAAAAAAAAAAAAAAAAAGGAAAAAGAAAGAAAAACGCGAAATCAAATATCGCGCGGAATACTTGGAATACCGGTATTTGTACTTTTTATTTACAACTTATCGTGCGAAAAACCGGCCGATATTTTCGAATTCGTTTCAATAACGTGGAACGGGCCGGTGAAATAAAATGGAACGGGAGAAGGCAAACGGTGCCGATTAAATAAACGTTAAACCCCGAAATTTCGTTTAAACGGAGGGCAGGGGTGGATTATACATACGTCTTTGGGCGAAAACAATTAATGTTTATCGGGAAGCTCGCGCAGCCGTTACCCGACAAGCCGGCGGTTGTTCCGGGGACCGGTGCCGCTTAAACGCGCAATAAGTGGAGAGAAGAGAGGGTCAAACTAATTCGATTCTAAACTCTGACCGCATCGCGCGAGAAAGAGGCGGGCGGAGGGTGCGGGCGGGGAAAATACAGGAGCACCCGCACCCACGATGGACACAGATGGCACTAACCGCGCCGTTAAATTCTCAACCTGTAACTCTAATTGCTCGATAGACGAGGCCAAGTTTCTCCTCGACCGCCATATGCCGTACGAACTTGTCACGTATCAAGCGTATTACTCGTTCGATTCTTGTCGCTCCACGATTCCTGTCGATCCATTCTTGGCTAATCGGCGGTTGACAACCAACTAAAATTAATCGATCGATTATCATCGGGATAATGGTTCGTTCGTTACAGTTTGTTTGTTTGAAATTGGCGCGGTGATCAATCGAGGTTGTTTCGCTTGTGTTTCAGGGTACCGGAATAATAATCGAAAAGTGATCGTGAAGCCACAATGGATGGGACGAAAAGCGAGCCGAGCAAGAGCGGGGCTGTGCAACGGGAGTGCGGTGGTTGCGGAGAGGTAATTACGGAAAGGTAAATATTTCGGATAAATTTATCATTACCCGCGATTCTTTTCCAAACGCATCTCTCAAAAATATTCAAACATACACGATTTCTCCAAATCCCATAGGTATCTTCTCAAAGTGTTGGACATGTTCTGGCACGAGGATTGCTTAAAGTGCAACAGTTGCAATTGCAGACTCGTGGAAGCTGGTCCCTCGCTTTACATAAAATCCAATCTGATATTGTGCAAGAAGGATTATTTACAGTAAGCTATGTCACCTCTTTTCTCTTCTTTCCTCTTCCTATTCGATATATATATATATATATTCGCGAAAGAATCGAAAATCCGTTATAATATTATAATTCCATTCTGCCCTCCGACAACGTTGACGTTTCATATTTCATTGTGTCGTGGTGCATTGGGACGTCAATAAAGGGCAAAGTGGAAAAGGAGACGTTAAGCACCACCACGTACGGGCAGTCCTCGACGCGGCGAACGGAAGCAACAAATCGAATTTTACAGATGAGTTTCCCTTATTGAATACATCCACGTCCCATATAAACAGGCGAGGGCAAATAAACCGTGTTGAGATTACAAAGTCCCGAGGGAACGCGCGCAGGTGGCGCGTCTGCGAGGAACCTTCGCTATCGAACCCACCATGCCCTTTATTAATGGCCCAATATTTGAAGATGGCATATTCGTGGCTCGTCCTTAAGCTTATTGATTCTTGTTCCAACCTAGCTAAAAGTCTGCCATCGTTGGCGGGGATAACTCGCGGGGATACATCGAAAGAAATACAAGATATCGTGGATGGAACGATTCTTCCTCGATTCCACTTTCTTTAATTTCTTACAGCAATAACAAGCCGATACGATAGTACCAGCCCTCTTGTTTTTCAATTTGTGACAGATTGTTTGGACTCACTGGCCATTGCGCGGCCTGTAACAAAACCATCCCAGCCTTCGAGATGGTGATGAGGGCGAGGACCAACGTCTACCATTTGGAGTGTTTTGCGTGTCAACAATGTAACTACAGGTAAGAGGTGTTACGATCTCTTACAACATCTATCAGCGCGCAATATTATCAACGTTTCGAGCTATTGCAACATCCGGATCGAAACACTTCGTAATTCGAAAAAAAAAATAGAAATTCTTCTATCTAGGAAAATTTTTCTCGCGAAAAATAGTTCGTCGTTGAGAATCATCAATCGAGACCATCTCGTTGAGATTTAGTTTTAGGCGCGGTAGCGATATTATATTATTAAATAATAAGGGAGAGGCTGTGATTAAACATTCACACCCGGGAGAATGGTGGTGGGAAAGTCACTGGTTTCTGCGAAGTATTCGTCGTGGCAGCTCATCCGTATAACAATTTAATTCGAGCCAACCCGGCCGTGCGCCTGGGGGCTTGGCTAAACTTCTGCAGCACTTCGCAACACTTCGCTTACTTATTCACAACAACCAAGTTAAGCTCGAAGCTCGTTCGAGTCTGTGTTTAAGTCGAAACACCTCGGTGAATCCGGCGGATGAAGATAATCGGCGCAAGAATCGAGAAGCCGTCGAGTAAGAGTCGCTCTCTCTCTCTCTCTCTCTCTCTCTATCGCTCGGCAATAAAATCGGATTAATTACACCCTTCTCGTAATTTCCCTCCTTTGTCAATTTCCCCCAAATACGTATATATTTTATCGAATTATTTTTTGATCGAAAGCGCACGATACAAATATGGAACACGATCTCTTCGATTTTCGAGAGAGCCGCGAAACCAGCATTCCATTTCCGTGGAAATTTGAAATTCCTGAAAAATGGATCCGTTACAACCAAGTAACGAACAAGTCCAATGAAATTTTCCTCCCTTGACGTGAGTATAATTGACGTGAGGGCGTCGCGATGGAGCGGGGAGAGGGTTGAGACATCTAGCAGGAGAGAGGAGATCGCGAGAGGAAAGTCGAGAGTTGCGAAACTATGCGAGCGACGTGTAGACGCCTCGAGGTGTACGTCAGATGCAAATCATGCTCACTAATTTCCCGGAAAACTAACGAATCCCGAGGGCGCGCGGCCCAAATATCCACCCGCGCCGTCCGCCGTCGAGAGACGTTTCGTTGTGCGCGTTAACCGGCGTTTCGATAATCCGAAATTAGCAAATTAATTAATTTTCCTGCCGGAATTATTCCTCCAATATTCGAATCCTATGGGCACGAAATTAACGAGAGAGGGCGCATCGATCGCGCTCGAAAGCTTCGAAAGTAATACGGGAGAGGGTGGAAGGGAAAATGCAGGAATTGGTTCGGTCAGGTCGAGTCGCAAGAGTTTGGTCGGAAGAGTGACTCGGCATTTAAGTCTAATGTCAAACCGCGACATTTCTCCGACCTTTCGCCAACCTGAGAACGCTTCCTTGGGTGTATCCTCGGGTCCTATTCGGGTACACCCAACGAAAGGGACGTGCACGCGAGTGATGGAGAAAGATTGCTCGAGCTAAGGGATTGGTCGAACGAGGCAACAAGGTTCTCTGAATTTAAAATATAATCCGCTATTAAAAATAGAATTTTTTTTAGCATGTAAACGGGCTTGGTATCGCGATGATCAGAGCAGAGAGTAAAAATAGAAGAAGGAAAGGGAAAAAAGAAAGAACGGAAGGATATGGAGCCGCACGGGTAAAGGTTAGCTCGGCGCGCTCCTACGGGAAGCACGTGACTATCGAGCGAAGCCGATTACTGGTTAAAGATACGTCGAAAGTATACTTTCTTTCGTGGTCGAAGGTAACGTGCAACCCTTAAGGCGAACCATTGGTTAGGGGTCGAAGCGGTTGACCGTAGGCAAAACGGAAACGGATGTGGCCGTTGGGTCACGCGATCTCCACGAGTCGAGCATAAAACACCTGAGTTGTTTAATCATACGCTCCTAACCCGAGTCGTACATCGTAAACTCGAGAGGGTAGGTCTCCTTCTCTCTTCCTCCCTCGATCGCTCTCTTCCCATTCCGCTCGTCTCCTTTCGCAGAGATGTATAGCCGGATAAAAGTATTCCGTTTATCCATTAACAGGTATGTTCCGTCATCGATAAAAGTGATCGATACGATCTGTATATACGAGAGTTGACCGCCAAACAATTTATGACGATCAGAGATCGATGAAACGACAACCTTATCCTTTTCTCAATTCGCGTATCTCGATTTCTGCGACAAATGATACTCTGTCTTAAATAGAAAAAAGAATATATATATATATAATCTCTTTCAAGAGTCATCATTCTACGCGGATTCGGTGTCAATTAGACGAGCTTAGACATCTCGAGCGGAAGAGCTTTTTCGACCCCTTGATCCGAAGTTGACGAAAGCTTCGACCTCGTCCTTTGTCTATGAATTCACAGCAGGTATTGTACGAGCGGGTGTACGGCTCCTAGTAGGACTATAGTCCATTGTTCGTGCTTATATTGTATTTAGGCATTACGAGTCAGCCTGATATAATTGTTACTGTTCCGTGGCGCTTATCGAACACGCTGCTCTGCTGCATTCCCACGCGAGTCATCGCCCGGCCCTCGTAATTACTCGAAAATCATTAAACTTCCACTTCGACCGCGCACCGCGAATAGAAACGTTTCCGAAATAATCTCTTCAGCGACGACGCGAACGATCAACCGTTGGAAAACGAACGAAGCCAACGGCAACGATACGCGATACGCGATTTATGCGAATGCGTGCCTCCGCGCGCAGAAAAAAGAAAAAAGAATGTCCCCTTATCGCGTACGAGCGAAGACGGGCGAGCATTTCGATGTTCGAGGCCGAACAATGCAAAGTTAAGTCTCGAATTCACGCTCTTTGGAAGGGTTGGAAGAAGAGAGAGAGAGAGAGGGAGGGAGGCGTAGATTGTTAGGTAGGTGGATAGTAGATCGGTAGTAGGAAGGTGGCGCGGGGTGGAAAGAGGCAAGTCGCGTAGAAGGGAGCGGCCATTTTGTTTCCGGTGTCCCGGGAGCACTTCCGGTCACCGTCACGCAGTTCTGCGTCGCGAAGTGCCCCCGAGCTCCTGAGATCTCCTTTCACGATTATATTCAAATTAAATGCGGGAGTCTGACCGGTAATATACTGCCGCCAATTTAGCTACAACCCCCCGGACGGTGGTTCGCCTTACCTCGCCTCACCACCGCCCATCCGACTTCACTCGCCTCCAAGAATCCGTCCGTTTCTATCTATCTAACCCGCGTTAATCGCCCGTTCCGCAAAAACTTAACCAACTCGACTCGATGGGGAGAGTAAACTTTGGAGGAGGGTTCGAGCTCCTCTCCCCCTCCCCCACCCTCGCCACTCTCCAATCTCTGGTAGGACAAACACGCGTGCAACCATCGCGCG